CTGGCTCCTTTAGGAAACTCCCTTAGGAAACTTGGAAGCTTAGGAAACGAGGAGGCTCCCTTAGGAAACTTGAAAAAAGCAGTGGAGCTCAGTCAAGGACGGAAAAAAAAAAGGACTTGGTAAAGCAGCACCCATCTCGTGTGTGTTGATATCATACAAGTAAGCTGCCCTTATTTTCCACTGGTACAAAAATTTTAAAAGCACTCTTACTAGGCAGTGTTTGTTGTTTTGTTGTTGTTTTAAATTTATATATCAGGACAGGCTGAAAATACAAGTAATTTAAATTAGAAAACGCTCAGTTTCATCTCGCTCAAACAAACAGAATTTTACAGACACCGTGTCTGCATCAATTTAGACTCCAATTTGGAAATATTTTCAGAATAATCTAATTGTGTATTTCTAAGTTGAATAAAGGAGTTCTGTTCAATTCTTTCTGTCGTTGAAGGCTCTGGATAAGGGACCAAAGGCCAAGGACAGTAAAACAGGTGCCAGAGACCCAGGGATCCTATAAAGGGAAGCGAGGTCCGAGGCGCTAAGACTGTGCAGCTGGTTTTGCAGGTGAAGTAAAGTGCATGGACCGCGGAGGGCAGGGACTTGCCGGGAAAGAGCCCTGGGCACGTGAGAGAATATGCGGGCTCCCCTCCCGCCTTCCTGATTCTGGTCACTTCCAGCAGCTCCCCTGAGACCCCCTGGAGAGACGCGTCTCCTTAGAGCAGCACCTAGAGGGCGCCTCCTAATCTTCCAGGCTGGGGCGGGGACGTGGGTCCCGCACAGGACACGGACCTGTGGGCAGAAGCACACATTATTTTATTAAACTGGAAGGGGAGCTCTGATGCTCTGTGCATTTGTGCATATAGTCCTTTGCTGGCAAATCTTTTGTGAACTAGTATTGAATTTCAGCTTCTTAAATAAGAAATTAGTATTTGCCCTTTCATGACAAGTTTGTTAACATAAGATTTATATCCTTGCCTTCTTCATCCACTTCTCACTGTGGCGGCTTGCAAAACGTATTCAGTCTTTAAACTTGAAAATTCAGAGATGTGGATGGATGAACATTTCATAAAATGGTTTAAATTTTGTTGGCGCCGCGTGCTGGGTGCCACGTGCAGTGACGCGACCGTCCGGAAGAGGGCGCCGCGGGATCGCGTTTAGCCGTGTGCTGTCGGGGATTCCTGGGCGGTCCCTGTGAGGGTTTATAAAGGAAAGTGTGACAGCGACGTCTGATGGTCCTTTTACACTCCACTTCTCCTTGAAACGCTGCTGCGATTGGGAAGTGACAGCTTCAGAAATACTATTGTCTAGAACTAAAAGGAGTTTGGTTTATACCTGTCAGCCCTCTGATATTTTTCTATTGAGGCTGATGAATTTTAAAGAATATGTTTCAACCACTTCATCAAAACGGTCTTTAGATTAAAAAAAGACCCACTTTTTAAGCGCTTTTTCCGCCCCCCCCCCAAAGCCAACTTTACAAGGGAGGGTTGATTTATTATGAATATTTTGTTACTGACGGTATTGTAACACTTAGAACATTTAGGAAATTTGAACATGTAAAGCTGCCCTTGTGCACCATCCTGCACTTTTTATCTTTTTATATTAAATACTGAGGTAATTTAAGAAATAGTTACTAAATCACGAAATGCTGTTGCCAAATGAATAATGTTCTAGTCCATAATCACACAGTATTTAGACTAATATCACAATAAATAAATACAATAACACAATGAAATTTCAAAAACAATCTTTCACACCTGTGATGGGAAGTTGTGATAAAAAGCCCTGAAATCTTCTCATTTCAATGTTGATTAATTAAAAATAGATTCTATAGATAGATTGAAGCATTTGGTTGTCCCCTAGTTTCATTACAAAGATTTCTCCGTTACTTACTTAGAATAATAGAGAAAATACAGCTTGATGAGAAGGAGTCCAAGATTAGGTTAACCGGCTCTAACAGACCCTGAATGGGAAATGCTGTGATGACTAACTGGCCGGTAAGCGAGGAATGAGCTCCCCAGGTGGCTGAGTGGTGAAGAATCTGCCTGTAATGTGGAAGACTTCAGTTCAGTCCCTGGCTTGGGAAGATTCCCCTGGAGAAGGAAATGGCAACTCACTCCAGTGTCTTGCCTGAAAAATCGCATAGGCAGAGGAGCCTGGCGGGCTACAGATCATGTGCTCACAAAGGTGTGGTCATATGACACTAACGTTCATACTGGGAGGGAAGTCAGGAGGTTTCACTTCCTTCTGTCAGGAGTTGCCCTTGACAGTGAGGAGCAGGGCCCTGAGAGGCCGCGGCTCAGACAGGACTTCCTTTCCCTCACATATGCATGGCGGCCAGAGGTGAGCTGTGGCTGGTGGGCTGAGGTCTCTCTACTTCTCCAGATTTTCCCTCAAGGTTGCAAGATGACTATTAGGACTTCTACCATTAATTGGGAATTCCAGGCAGCAAAGAAACGAAAATGAAGGAGAAAGGGGCAATTCCTGTGTCAGGAGGGTAAAAACTCAGCATCCCAGTAGATAGCCACTCACATCTCACCCGTAGGGAAGAGTCCATGTCACCTCTGCCAGGAAGGTGGGAAGGCAGCTTTACCCGGCACGGTGCCAGACCTCACGGCTTAGTCTGTTCGTGAAGGAAAGGAGAGGACCGTGTCTCACCACCCGCCTCTGCCTCTGAGGGGGATGAGACAGCTGGGCCTGGAGAGGTCGAGGCTCACTCGTGTCTCAGAGCTGGTGGCAGATTCAGGCCTTTACGGGGCTTTATGATGTGTGAGGTGGGCTGGACAAGGAGTGGGACTGTGAAGGTCTAAGGATTCTGCTCTAGCAAGGACATAATAAATAAAAAATGTAGAGACTCATAGCAGCACTATTTGCAATAGCCAAGATATGGAAACAACGTAGATGGTCATCCACAGACAGATGGATAAAGATGTGACATAAATATACACATAGATACATATGTGGAAGTATTCTGTGTACATGGAATATTACTCAGCCATAAAAAGAGTGCAGTAGCGCCATTTGCAGTAACACAAATGGAACTAGAATGATCATACTAAGTGAAGTCAGAGAAAGATAAATACCATATGATATCACTATATGTGGCATCTAAAATATGATACAAATGAACCTATTTACAAACAGCAATAGGCTCATAGACATAGAAATTAACTTCATAGTTACCAAAGAGGAAAGAGGAAGAGGGAATAAATTAGGAGTTTGGGAGTAACATATACACACTACTATATATACAATAAATAATCAACAAGGACTTACTGTATAGCATAGGGAACTATACTCAGTATCTTGCAATAACCTATAATGGAGAGAATCTGAAAAAGAATATATATTAAATATATATAACAATATATATATATATCTGCCTGTAATGCAGAAGCTACATAGTAGCTAGTGGGAAACTACCATGTAGTTTGCTTATACCTGAAACTAACACAACAATGTAAATCAACTACAATTTTTTAAGAAAGAAAGCAAACAATCATGAATTGCCGAAAAACATTCATGATCTAATAAGATCATAATGATTTGATTTTCCTATAGAAACATGTGAAGAAAGGTAAAGATCAAATCTTAACAATGTAATGAAGTGGTACTGTAATTGTCAAGGCATTAAAATGTTGTTTGATAGTAAGAATTTCACCTGAAAGCCTGTTACTGCAAAGTAACCCATGGACACGTGTCCTCACACACGCCCTGACTCCCTTCCTGCTACACGGGGGCTGCCGTCCTCCTCTCGCCGACTAAGAAACGGCCCTGGGCTTCCTGAGGAGGGTGCCTCGAGCACGGCGGCTGTGACAGTGCTGGCAGCTGAAGGCAAGACTGCGCCCAAAGGGGCTGCAGCTGACTTTCTTCTGTTGCCTGGAGGATAAAATGTGTCTTCTCGGAGGAGAGCTGCGACACACATTGACGCTTTCTCAGATAAAATTCGGCCATTCAAATACTTGGTAAATTTACACATTTAAGAATGCAACACTCACGTGCATTAATATATGACATTTGTTTTTCTGTCTCTGACTTACTTCCCTTTGTATAACAGAGTCTAGGTCCATGTCTCTCCAAATGACCCAATTTAATTCCTTGGTACAGCTGAGTCATATTTCATTGTATAGATGTACCACATCTTCTTTATCCATTCATCTGTCTGTGGACATTTAGGTTGCTTCCATGTCCTGGCTATTGTAAATAGTGCTGCAATGAACATTGGGGTGCATGTGGAATCTAGACAAAGGGTACAGATGAACCTATTTGCAGGGCAGGAATAGAGACACAGACGTACAGAACGGAACTCTGGACATGGTGGAGGGTGGGGGTGAATGGGGAGACCAGAAGTGACACATATACACTGCCTGCGTGAAATAGCTGGTGGGAAGCTACTGTGTAGCACCGGGAGCTCAACTCAGTGCTCTGTGATGACCTAGGGGGGTGGGAGGAGACAGGGAAGGGGAGAGAGGCCCCAGAGGGAGGGATCTATGTATACACATAACCTTCCCTGTGCAGCAGAAACTAACAACATTGTAAAGCAACTATACTCTGATTTAAAAAAGAGAATGTAACACTGTGTCAGGGTATGTATTAATCCAAGGAGAGACTATGTATGACTGCTTATAACCTAGGGCCACAGAGAAGTAATATGTAGGAACCTGAGCCAAAATGTTTCTGAAAATTGTATAATATTAAAACTGTCCCCTTCATGTTACGGAAAAGGAAACTGCGAGGAACTACTTATTTGCAGAATAGGAAAATATTTTTGTTTTTGTTTTACTATGTACTTTTCAAGTTACTTTTCAAACTTTCCACAGTTTATGATTGTAGTTCTTTTAAAACATGAAGACTTGTTTGAATATTTTAGTGTCATCTAAAATGGCAGCTATGTAATGTTTTCTCCCCATTTATGACCCAGGCCTGGGATATAAATGGGGAGCAAGATTTCCTGGCTGGAGACTCAACTGTGTGTAATTGGTTTGTGATTGCAGTGGGAGAAACTGCAGATGACCACCAGCGAAAGGAGGAAAATCTTCTGCTCGGTCACTTTCCACGTCATTGCCATCACCTGCGTGGTCTGGTCCTTGTACGTGCTGATAGACCGGACGGCAGAGGAGATCAGGCAGGGCAATGATGACGGTAAGAGCTTGTCTCCTTTCTCTCTGGGGCTTGAGTCCTGTGACATCACCCAGGGACGCACAGCGGAGCAGGTTCCCGGCAGCACCCGGAACCGGCAGCTGAGGCTCCCCTGGCTCCCGTAATGCTGAGCGCTCCGGCCGTGAAGTGCGGACCAAAGTGAGATTTATCAAGTCCATCTTAGCGGGGCAGACATCCACAGATGCCACACACCACGTTAAGTTATTCAGGAGCTGATGAAGATCAGGTTCTACCCCATGTGAAAAGACAAACAACTGTAAGCATAAAATGTTTTTTCCATTTATTTAATTCACTTTATTCATGGCTTCCTGTAACACATGAATAAAAGGGCAGTTAGTAGAGACTGTGTTACAGCCTATTAATTAGCACACTATAATCTTATAGAGTGGGTTAACATTACAGTTTGAAATTTTCACCACACTAAGTCTGATAGTGCAGATGACACCACCCTTATGGCAGAGAGTGAAGAGGAACTAAAAAGCCTCTTGATGAAAGTGAAAGAGGAGAGTGAAAAAGTTGGCTTAAAGCTCAACATTCAGAAAACTAAGATCATGGCATCTGGTCCCATCACCTCATGGGAAATAGATAGGGAGACAGTAGAAACAGTGTCAGACTTTATTTTCTTGGGCTCCAAAATCACTGCAGATGGTGATTGCAGCCATGAAATTAAAGGACGCTTACTCCTTGGAAGGAAAGTTATGACCAACCTAGACAGCATATTAAAAAGCAGAGACATTACTTTGCCAACAAAGGTCTGTCTACTCAAGGCTATGGTTTTTCCAGTGGTCATGTATGGATGTGAGAGTTGGACTGTGAAGAAAGCTGAGCGCCCAAAAATTGATGCTTTTGAACCGTGGTGTTGGAGAAGACTCTTGAGAGTCCCTTGGACTGCAAGGAGATCCAACCAGTCCATCCTAAAGGAGATCAGTCCTGGTTGTTCATTGGAAGGACTGATGCTGAAGCTGAAACTCCAATACTTTGGCCACCTCATGCAAAGAGCTGACTCATTGGAAAAGACCCTGATGCTTGGAGGGATTGGGGGCAGGAGGAGGAGGGGACGACAGAAGATGAGATGACTGGATGGCATCACTGACTCGATGGACATGGGTTTGAGTAAACTCCGGGAGTTGGTGATGGACAGGGCAGCCTGGCGTGCTGCAATTCATGGGGTCACAAAGAGTCGGACACGACTGAGCGACTAAACTGAACTGACTGAAGTTTGATAGTGAAGGGTGGTATCAAGTCTGAAGAAAGATGTTTTAAAATCATTGCAGCATAGTCTAACGTTTTAAATGGATAGGCCACTCAAAACTGGAGCAGAAAGAACTTGCTTATCTTCACCTCTGAAGGGACCCAGTTCTGTTTCTCAACAGGCTGTGCCGGCTTTAGCCGGTAGCCTGAATCGTAGCTGGGAAAACAGTGAGGGAGACTCCCCAGCCTCCTCCAGGGGGAGATACATGTGTCATATGTAAAACCAGGGGTGCATTTGGAAGGAGAAGGTGTTCAGATGATGGCACTGGGAGTTTGAGCCTCCTTCAAAATAAGAAGTGAAAGAGAGAGAGCTGAGAGGCAGTCAGAGAAGGAAGGAGGAAGAGGAGAGTCTTCCCAAGGAGCGGTCTCTTTGCTCTGCGTTTCTCTGTCCGGACCAGAGCGGGGCGGAGTCCCGTTCCTGCGCTCCTGGGGCTGGTTCTCATCGGAGCAGGGCTGCGAGCGGAAGGGCCGGGCCCAGAGCCCCCGGGAGGCGGTGTGCAGCCGGGAAGCGGCAGGGCAGGGGGCCGGCAGGGGCATGCTGGGTCAGAAGACAGGTTGGGGGTATTCTGTACATCAGTGTTAACTCATGGGTACATAATTTATATTCAACCATGTTGTTTAGAGCTGTATTGTTTCAGAGATGCCAGACTTTAAAATATCTATCACACCCCTACTAAGTTCCTTCAGAGTAGACCTTTTTTTGGTGTGTTTAGTCACTTCAGTTGTGACCGACTCTTTGTGACCCCACGGACTATACGCACCAGGCTCCTCTGCTCCTGGGGTTCTCCAAGCAAGAGCATCGGAGTGGGTTGCCGCTTCCTTCTCCAGGAGATCTTCCCAGACCGGAGATGGAGCCCGTATCTCTTATGTCTCCTGCATTGGAAGGCACGCTCTCTACCACTACCACCTGGGAAGCTTCAGACATTTCTTTTACCTTTTCATTTTATATTGGGGATATACAGATGATTAACAATGTTGTGATAGTTTCAGGTGGACAGAAAAGGTACTCAGCCATACATATGCATGTATCCATTCTCCCCTAAATTCCCCTCCCACCCCGGTTGCCACAAAACACTGCAGAGAGTTCCCTGTGATATACAGTGAGACCTTGTTGGTTATCCATTTTAAATGTAGCAGTGTGTACATGACCTTCCCAAACTCCCTAACTATCCTTTCTCCCCATTGCTCCCCTCAGAGAAAATTTGCTTAAGCCCATGTCCTCTACAGCTGCCAGTACTGGCTCAAGCCAGGTAACAAAAAGCACGCTGCAAACCCCGCAGTTGTCTGAATGTGCGAGAGCAAAGAGACGCCCCGTTCCCTACATCACCTCATGGCCCCCAGCCCATGGCCTCAGGGATGGAGTGCTTCCTCTCGAGCCAGAGCAGACCTGCAGCTGGACCGAATCTGGCCTGAAGTCTGACTCAGGGTCCTGGCGACGCCTTCTTCTCGCCCAGTGGTCACCCTGCTCGGGTCTGCTGCCGCAGCCTGCGGGGCTCCCCCTGGGGTCCCCCAGCCACAGGAAGGGGAAGGAGATGAAGGGCACCTCGGCCAGACAGAACAAGAGGCCGGCTCTCATGTCATCCACATGCAGATTGCTCAGAAGTTCTCTCGTAACTCATTTACTCAGTCCCTTCTGACACACATGAGCAGAGAGTGTTTGTTTATTTCACATTGGATATGGCTGTCGGCTTTGGCCGTGAAACCCGTGACCTGTGTCTCCTATTTCTGTTCCTCTCGAGTCCTCCCGGGTGTCCTTATGTCCTCAGATGTTGTTTCTATGCTGGTAACGCCCTTCCCCTGATCGCCAACCAGACATCTGACTGCTTCCCGTCCTCTCCATTTAAGGGTCTCCCAGGCACCCAGATTAGTGTGTCCAAACTCCTAACCCTTCCACCACTTCCCACTCTGACCACTCTGGCAAAGATATTGCTAATCCCCAGTAACAAAATGCAACCCAGCTTTCATTGCTGTCTCCTCCCCTTCACTTCCAGCTTTCATCAATCACCAAGTCCTATTTCTTTAGTCTGCCCCACAAGCCTCTGAAATCTATCAGTTTCTCTCCCTCCCCACTGCTACCACCCATGTAGTTACATCTCTTTTACTCCAAGACTGCAACTGCTCCTTGCGAGACTTTCTCTAGTTTGCCCACCTTCAACACACATCCAGAAACATAATCACAGCAAGTTCAAAACGTAAATCTGACCACATTCTGTCCCTGCTTCTTCATGACTCTTAAAAAATATACCCTGGACTCTGGGAAGGAGCTTATGCTGACCCCATGGCCCTGCCAAACCCAGTCATGCTGAACACTGGTTCAGCCCCCAGACCTGCTTCCAGACCCTGTTCCACTTCTCTGTCCCGGGGACATATTTCCTGCCAGCTTTCCGTGTCCACCCTGCACACCAACTCTCATGCTCATGTGTCAGCACACACTTCCTTGTCCCTTAAGTTGACCTGAAATTTCACTGCTTCCCAGAAACCCAGATCAGCTCCCTGAGATAGAATAACTGCTACTACTGCAGCAACTCTCAAATGTGGTCCCCAGGCCTACAGCACGAACGTCAGGAGTGCTTGCTAGAAAGGCAGACTCCTGCCTCTCTCCGCCCTGGACCTGAGACTCAGAGGTTCTGAGGGTGGAGCCCCACATGGCGGGTGCAGCCGACACTGTCTGGGCACTGGGCACATGTGCTCCTGCGCATCCTGTCCCACCCCCAGCGTGGCCCATCGCATCACTGTGCAGCATCTGCACCAGCACAAAGCGTCGAGCTGTGTGCCCAGGGATTTACGTGTAATTAGCCCTTACACGAACCTCTTGTGCAGTCAGGCTGAGAAGCTCTGCCCCGCCAGGAGACTTGCCACACCCTGTTGTGATTGCTCGCTTCTTGTCTGAGTTTTGATGGGTCAGGTGTGTCTCTCTTGTTCACCAGCACATCCTAGGTGCTGAGTGCTTGTATCTGGAACCCAGCAAGGGACCCAGTCAATGTAGGAGACTGAGTTCTTTGTATGCAAGCTTTTCTAGTTTTTTCTTTTCTTTAGACATTTTCTGCAAAATATTTTTTCCCTTTCTCAGTTCTGGGTAGATGCAGAATTTCAAACCACAGTGGACTATCACCCAGGGTTATCAGCCATGTTTCCCAACAGAAAATGCTGCATGGTAATCAAAGATCAGCCTTCCAATACCTGTATCTATCTATCAATATTTATGCACATGTTATATAAGGTCAGTTTTCTACCATATACTTTTAAACATTATTTTCAGTTTCTTAAAAGCAAGTAAAAATGAGATAGCTTTTATCTTTGGTGTTCAGACTTTTGAATTAGGAAGCAAGATCTTTATCATGAAGCAGACTCTGTAGTTATTCCTACAGAGTCACTGGCTAGAGGGACAACTTCTGACTTGGGTAATTTTGAGTGGGACAGAGGTGATTTTTGTAAAACTTTTTTTTTTATTTGTAAAAGGTTTTCTGTATTTGTGTTCAAATTGTATGTCATGCCTGACTTCCCAAAGTGCACATTATCAGGTGGTGTAGGCATCCTTGTGAGTTGTTACTAATCTTCCTTTGGCACTGGAACTGTGAGAACTGATCCTGAACTGGCTTTTAAAGTTTTGGGGGGAAAACTGCATAATTTAAAAGTCAAAATATTTAAAATCCATCTTGAAAACCTTCAAAAATCTTTGAAGAGGAACAAATTGCCCTTCTTTAACCAGAATGGAAGTTGAATATAAAATA